AACATTAGACACTTTTCCAATACAGACTCAGTAACATGAAGAAAGGTGGATGAAATACTAATCGTGAAATATTAATGAAGATAAGAAAACAAATGAGTATGACTGCAATGTCCAAGCGCTATGGGCTCTAGTCAGTAGACCAAACTCACAATTCTATAGGATGGAAGAAAGACCTGAGATAAACATTATGAAGGCACAGAGAACCTATTTCAGAAAACTATAGAAAAAAATTTCCTAAATCTTAGATATCCAAAGGGCCATTTAGAAGATCAAATAGACATGGCCAGACTACTTATCCATAACATAGTATAGTTAACATCTCAAAAATGAAGAACAAAAGAATATTGAAAGCTATAAGCAGAAAACACCAATTCATTTACAAAGGCAGAAAATCTAAACAGTTATCAGCCATCCCCAAAGTCAGGAAATCATGGAATGGTGTATTTCAAGCCCTAAAAGTAAATTACTGCCAATTAGGAGTTTTACATCAAAAGACATATTTTTAAATAGAGAGAAAAAAATAAGGATTTCAAAACAAGCATACACTGAGGCAGTTCATAACCACCAACCTCATCTCTGCAGAAGATACGTAGAGGAATACTATAAAAGGAAGAGGAGGGAAGACAGGCTCAAATAAAGGGCACAGGAAACACATTTTATGGGAGAAATGCCTAAACACTGAAGAGCTGGGAAAGAGTTAATCATGTCCAGAACAGAAAATCAGAAATATAAATATTACAGAGAAAAATCAAACAATAAATAGCTAACAAAATTATCAGACTCAGAAAGTCTAGCTTAGTAATAACCTTAAATACAAAGGATTCAATACACCAATGAAAAGAAAAGACTGAGTTAAAAACAACAACAACAACAAACTAGATCCACCTTTCTGTTACCTCTAAGAAACACAACTTACTAGTGAAGACAACCACAGACTAGTAACCAAAGGATGGGAAACAACCAACTAAATGGAAATGAAAGAATCTGACCTAGCTATTCTTCTACCAAATGAAGTAGATTCAAATCAAAATTAGAAGGGACAAAGAAAACTACTTCATACTGAAAAATGGAACAATTATTAAGAAAATATGGCTCATAAAAAGAGTTTGGCAATGTTCCTTCTGTGTGTGGAACAATTTGAGGAGTATAGGTATTAGTTCTTCTTTGAAGTTCTGGTAGAATTCTGCACTGAAACCATCTGATGCTGGGCTTTTTTGGTTGGGAAACTTTTGATGACTGCTTCTATTTCATTAGGGATTATAGGTCTATTTAAATTGTTTAATCTGGTTTTGTTTTAATTTTGGTATGTGGCATCTATCCAGAAAATTGTCCATTTCTTTTAGATTTTTCCAATGTTGTAGAGTACAGGTTTTCAAAGTATGACCTAAGGATTCTCTGGATTTCCTCAGTATCTGTTGTTATGTCCCCTTTTCATTTCTGATTTTGTTAATTTGCATATTCCCTCTCTGGTTTTGGTTACTTTGGATAAAGGTTTGTCTATCTTGTTGATTTTTCTTGAAGAACCAGCTCTTTGTTTCATTGATTCTTGTATTGTTTTCTTGTTGCTATTATATTGATTTCAGCCCTCAATCTGATTATTTTCTGGTGTCTACTACTCCTGAGTGAATCTGCTTTTTTTTTTTTTCTAGAGCTTTCAGGTGTGCTGTTAAGTTGCTAGTGTGAGAGTTTCCCACTGTCTTTATGTAGGCACTTAACTGCTATGAACTTTCCTCTTAGTACTGCTTTCTTTGTCTCCCATATGTTTGGGTAACTGATGGAAGCAGATGCAGAGATCCAGAGCTAAGCACTGGGCCGAGCTCCCAGAGTCCAGTTGAACCGAGGGAGAATCGATAACATGAGCAAAGGTGTCAAGACCAGTTTGGGGATACCCACAGGAAACAGCTGACCTGAGTTACTGGGAGCTCACTGAATCAGGACTGACAATGAGGGAACCTGCATAGAACCAAACTAGGCCGTCTGAGTGTGGGTGACAGTAATGTAGCTTGGGAAATCTGTGGGGCCACTGGCAGTGGGACCAGGATTTCTTCCTGGTGCTTGAACTGGCTTTTTGGAGCCCATTCTCTTTGGAGAGATACCGTGCTCAGTCTATTATATAGGTGGGCAGGGCCTTGGTCCTGCTTCAAAATAAGGTGTCAAAGTTCCTTGACTCCCCATGGGAAGTCTTACCCTCTCTGAGAAGTGGATGGGGGTTGAGGTAGGGGGGGAGGAAGAAGGAGGAAGAGAGGGAGTGGGAACTGGGATTGGTATAAAAAATTTAAAGAAAAAATAAATAAAATTAAAATATGGTAATGTGAAAATAAATGAATTAAATATTGGTGTCTCCAATTTCATAGAACAAAATTCAATGGACATAAATGGTCAGGTGGATCCCAATATACTAATATTGGGTAATTTTAATACCCAATCTCATTTCAAGAGAAGTCATCCAAACTAAAAGTAAAACAACAACAATAACAACAACAACAACAACAAAAACAACAACAAAATAATACAGAGTTAAATTATACTACAAAGTAAATGGACTTAACAGATATATACAGAACATTTCATCCAAGAAAAACACTATAAACATCCTTCTCAGGAGCCTATCAACCTTCTCTAACACAGAGCACATTCTAGACCACAAATCAAATCTTAGCAAATACAAAATTACCAAAACAATATCTTGTATCTTACCAGACCACAGTGCAAACAAGAAAAATCTATAATTAAGTAGCAAGGACAACTACAGATATAACAGAAATACACAGAAACTGAACAGCACATTCTTCTTTTTTTGTTTTTTTTGAGACAGAGTTTCTCTGTATTGTTTTGGAGACTGTTCTGGAACTTGCTCTGTAGACCAGGCTGGCCTTGAACTCACAGAGATCAGAAATGGATAAATTACCTACCAAAATCCAAACAAGAAGCTACAGAGAACTAAACAGAACCATAATTATGAATCAATTTCTCTGATGAATATTGATCCAAGTAGTCTCAATAAAATTCTTGCAAGCTGAAATGAAAAACATATTAAGAAAACCATATATGAAAACCAAGTTGGTTTCATACCAGGGATGCCTGAAAGTTTCAACATAAATAAGTGTAATCCAGAACATGAGTAGACTTTTAGATAGAAGCCACATAATCATATTAATCAATGGGGGAATTGGGGTCTTGGATAAAGTTCATCATCCCTTCATGATAAAACCCCAAAGAAACTAGGAACAGAAGAAACGATAATCTCAAGATCATAAAGGGAGTATACAACAAATATTAGTGTTATACTAACTGGGGGAAACTGGGAGCATTTCTTCTGAAATCTACAATGAAACAGGGATGCACATCCCTTACATTGTTATTAAATACAAATTCTTATCTAGAGCATTAAGACAAGAGAATTAGAGAAAGAGAAATCAAACAGAATGGAAAGAAGGTAGATTACTGCTATTTGAAGACAGCACAACCTTATATATAATAGACCCTAACAATTCCACAAGCAAACTATTAGATCTGAGAAACACTTTCAGCAGAGTAGCAGGATATAAAAATTAACACAATTTACTCTGATATAATGTAGTTTCATTTTCATTTGGTTTGAGGGATTTTAATTTCTTCAACTCACTGGGAATGAAGTCAGGGGGAAATCCCATTCATAATAGCTTTTAAAAAATAGTTGGGAATAAGCCTAATCATGAGATTAAAAGACCTATAATGAAAATTTAAGAAACTAAAGAAAGAAATTGAGGAAGACACTAGAAGATGGAACTACCTCTTGTTCTTTTGGATAGGCAGAATATTGGGCAGCTATGTTACTGAAAGCAATGTACATATTCAAAGCAACTCCTGTCAAAAACGACAATGGCATTCTTCACAGGACCAGAAAAGACAATCTTAAAGCTCATATGGAAGCACAAATCTCCAGGTAACTAATGTAATTCTTAGCAGAAAGAATAATGCAGGATATGTCACAATATCCAATCTCAAACTGTATTACATAGTTATTGTGACAAAAACAGCATTGTACTGTCACAAAACCAGATATGTAGATCAATGGACTTGAATAGATGACCTAGGGATAAAGCATTATAGCCACAGCCATCTGTCCAAAATATAAATAGGAGACAAAATAGCCTCCCTTACAAATGACTCCAGGCAAGTGATTTGCAATGTAAAAGGGTACAACTAGATCTCTATTTCTCACCCTCCACTAAATCAACTCAAAATGGGTCAAAGACATTAAAGTGAGATAAGAAACTTAGCAAATGTTAGAAGAAAATGTAAGTGAAACACCTGTAGATGCAGGCAAAGTCAAGTTCTTTTTGAAAAAGAACTCTAATACATAGGAAATAGTTGTAAGAATTGACAAATGAGAGATTGCATGAAATTAAAACAACTTTTGCACAGCAAAGGAAACAAAACTAGAATGATGAGACAATCTACACATAAAACAAGTCATTAATTTCTAAGACACAAAAGGAACTGCAAAAAAACAGAACATATAAAAACAAAGCACCTAAATCAGCAAATAGGCCCGTGAACTGAAGAGATTATTTTCAAATGAAGAAACACAAATGGACAATAAGTACTTGGAAAATCATCAAAAGTCATCAAGGAGACACAAAACTGTTGTGAAATTCCAATTCTACCCAGTAAGAATAGCTATGATCAAGGAAACAGATGCAGGAGAGGATGGGGGCGGGGTGAGGGGGAGGAAAATCATTATTCATTGCTGGTGAGACACCAAACCTGTGCAGTCACTGTGGAAATAAGTACGGTGGTAGGCGGGGGGGGCTCCTCAAAAAATTAAAAATTGAATGACCACTTCAACCTCCTATGTTACTCTTATGTATATATTTAAAGGATGTTAAGTTAACATAGTACAGAAATACCTTACCTACACTTCTGCATTTATTTCTTCACTATTTATAGTTGCCTGAACTCTAGAACCAGCCTAGATGTCCATCAACGATAAGTGAACAAAGGATACATGATTCATATTCACAGTAGACTTTAAAAAAAGATTTATTTATTTATTGTGTATACAATGTTGTGTCTGCATATACCCCTACAGGTCAGAACAGGGCACCAGATCTCATTCCAGATGGTTGTGAGCCATTATGTGGTTGCTGGGAATTGAACTCAGGACCTCTGGAAGATCAGCTAGTGTTCTTAACCACTGAGCCATCTCTCCAGCCCCCACAGCAGAATTTTATGATCCTGTAAATAAAAATGAAATCGTGACATTTGTCAAGAAAGTAGGTGCAACTGAAATCATTAGGTGAAATAAATTGAGCTCAGAAAGTCTAATACCACACTTTCCTCTCAGAGGCAGACCTTACGTAAATCTGTTTTTCATGACACCAATTTCCCTAGGATCTGTTTTCCAGTTAGCAGTCCTAAAATAAATATAGATTTATCCATGCTGCTGTCCTATGTTAAACCTTTCAAATGTCCCTCTTACTTTTAGCTCACAATGCAGTACTCAAAGCTTATAAGCCAGTACTCAAGGTTACTGTGATCTGGAGTCCCCTCTGAACACATCATCCATACACTGGAGTCCACACTTTAGCTCACCACAAAGCATACTTGTGAAGCACAATTACACACTTGACAATGCTGCACTCTCCAACTGGGACATCTCATTTATCTATAAAAGCCAACTTTGATGCCAGTCTTCTCAGAAAAGACTGTCCCTGATTTTGTCTTTTGTAGTATTTTGTACTTCGACATTCTACAGTTAGATTTTTTTTTCTTTTTTTTTCTTCTTTCTTTTTTTGGTTCACACTCTGAGAACTCTGAGAACTGCGTTAATGACTCCAGTATTCAAATGCCTGGACACCAGCTCAGGACCTGGCATGTGGCAAGTATGCAGTAGAGAGCAATTGGCTTGGTGCATAGCTGTCAATTCTCTGTACTTTGCTCTTTGGTGAATGTTTAGGCCTTGACACTTGTAGAAAATTGCCCTCGAGAGACCCAGTTTCACTTGCTGTCACCAAGTACTTCTGCTTCTTTGCCTATGTGTGTTCTTTGTTATTCCATTCTGGGCAGTGGAAATCCCAAGGCCCTCTGCCACAATGACTTAAAGGTCCTATTTAAATAGGCCTTCACCTCGTACTTCCCCTGAGATGATATTTGTTAGAAAAGAACATTTTTCTTTTGCTTTGCTGAGCAAAACGTAACAGAAAAGCTAATATAGTTTTGGGTACACGTGCCAGCCAGCAGGGCTGGAAGTTCCACCAGGACACAACCTGAGCAGAGGGGCACCAACTGCAAGGACACAGACTGCAGCTAAAATAGCAGTAGGTTCAGATGTAGCTGCTAAGACGACAGTAAAACAGCAGAGGTTTCCTGACTATCTCCTTAAGAATAACCTCTCCCCTGGTTTCCTATTCCTTGGTTCACTTCCCCCATCCTTCCCCCTTTCATTTCCTTTTGCCTCTATATCCTTAGATAACATTCTACGCCACTAGCCAGGTCACATGGCACTTCTCTGCTTCCTTAGGTATCAATCCCACTACTGAGCTGACAACTAGTTGGGTCTCTCCGGAACCATCTTGAGCCTTCCTCCTGAACATAAGAAGAAACTTAGGGGAACTCTCACTTTCATTTGTGCTCATAGGATAGCCTGGAGTTCCCTAAACTCCAGTTCACTGGCTTCCCATTCCCCAGCTTCTCATCCCTGTATAATGCTGCCATTTTGGACACACACCCTCTTTTTGATCTCTTGGTTCTTGGTCCCCTCTCTTGGCCCTCTCTTGTCTTTGCTCCCTCTTCTCTTCCTCTCATGCTCCTCCTCTCCCCATGGCCCAGTTCAGTCTACTGGTCATGTTTAGGCTACTACTTTCTCTCCCTGCTCTGGACTCTTCCAGATGCCTCCGGCTGTACTCTCCCTCATATCTACAATGAAAAACTTTTCCTCAACCATATCTTGGAGAGGTCATGTCCTCATTTTATATAAGTGAAGACCATCATTCTCAACAGAGAATTTGTCTTGGCCAGGGCTTCAGAATAGGGAAGTAGCTAAATTCAGAGGAGTGAAAGAGCCAAGCAGAGTGAGAACTTCCCCATGCCACCTCTGAGGGAGGCAGCAAAAAGCCCAGCAAATTTTCAGGTTCCTCCTTAAGAGAAAAGAGAAGTTGCCCTTAGTAGTTTCTTTTGAAAGTTACTTACCTTGTTCTGTAGCTTGCATCAACCTGGATACTCATCAGCTGGGATGGTCTTGGAGTTATGTCCTCTTGTTTCCTATCACATAATTACTTCTTGGTCAACTGTTTTGAGTCATTTCAGCCAAGTCCTAGACATTAAGGAACAAATACCAGTCAACCCTATTGGGTTCTGACAAACGTTAGGCTCATGAGAAACACAGACAGACAGAAAGATAGACAGATGGACGGACAGACAGACAGACACACACCAGATTACTATTTTAAACCTTGAGTATTATTATAAGCATAGACAATTGGACATAGCAGTACTTTTGCAAGTGTGAACACTAATAATCAAAACATTGACAGCAAAACCTTTGTACAAAAGGATGAAATTCTTAATTCATTATTAAGATGACACATATTCTTCCTGTTCTCATGGCAGTCACTAGTAGTTCATTCAGTCCTGCCTGGGCTACCAAGCTTCTCCAATAGAAGCTTCTGGGTAAAATAAACATGAAGAAAGGCTTATTCAGGCCATAGATGTGTTTCTTTCATATTTGTGTCACTGGGGGTTGAACCCAGGCAAGCAAGCTAACCAGCTGCCCTGCCACTATGATAAATCCCAGGCTCTAAGCCAAAGGCTTTTAAAATATGGAAATATTGGCAAACCTTTTTCATCATCTATCTCCCCAATCAGCCTTCCCCACTTAATTCACAATGGATAAAATTCAGAACTTCAGAATTATTGCATGACCTCAGACTACAACCAATTTAGTTTGTAGTATGGTAAATATCTCTATACTTGAACCTTCTAGAATGACCTCTTCTAATCATTCCTTTCAACAGATCCTTGGACTATGTATGGAATGCCATATTTATCCTGAACTGAAAACTCTTTGTAGGCTGGAAAGATTCTTTTAAAACCTAGTACAAAACTGTCCTGGTACATTGTTCCTTAGTCAACATTTATGGAGTAATATAATAAATGCGTGGTTTTCAGTTTCCACCACTGGTTGGCTCTTCAGTTCAAAGCTGTCAGACAAGCATGGCTGATGGGGGATGTCCTTCTGTATATATGTTTCTCTTATTGGTTGATGAATAAAACACTGGGTTGGTCAGGCAGGAAGTATAGGTGGGGCTGGGAGATGCGGAGAATTCTGAGAGAGGCAGACAGAGAGGCCAGGAGTTGCCATGTAGTGGAGGAAGGAATAACAGGTCTGGACCCTTCTCCAGTAAGCCAAGACCCCATGGAAATACACAGATTTATAGAAATGGGTTAATAATTAAGACAGAGCTAGTCAATAAGAAGCCCTAGCCATCGGCCAACAGTTTAGTAATTAATATAAGTCTTTGTGTGCTTATTTGAGGCTGAAGCGGCTGTGCAACCTGGTGGGACAAGAAAAACAAAAAACAAAAAACAAAAAAACAGCAGCAACACATGGCTCCTCATCTCCTTGCATTCGTCAGCTGTCTTCATTGTTGTACATTTATGTGAAGAGACTTATGCTCTAACTCAAAGTCTGCAACTTTGCTTCAGCCACTGATTTCACCATCTCCACTAAGCTTCTCTCAGAATTGCTAACAAAGCTCAAAAAATGAGAGAGAGATTTGTTCTTAACTTCTGAAGTTCTGTACTCACTGGGTCGGGAGATGGCTGAGAAGCCAAATCATCACTAGTTCATAAAAGAATGAGGTGCAGCACCACAAAGCACCTATGTCTCACCAGGCATGGTGACAGGCACAGGGCCATCTCTTTTAGTTTCACCTCAACCCTCTAAAGTCAGTCTAGACGGCTTCCTTTTACAAAGTTCAGACCATATCCCAGTAAACAGGAAGAAGACTTGTCTACAACTGAGATCAAGCATTGTGACTCTAAGGTCATTGCTCCTTCTAAATTCTCCCATGATTTCTGGCCCAGGTACAGGATAATATATATGATTTAAGAATATGTATTAAGGACAAGAAAGGTGGCTCAGAAGTTAAGAGCACTTGCTGCTGTTTCAGGGGATCTCAGGTTCAGATCCCAGCACCCATACCAGGCTGCCTGGAACTCCATTTCTAAGGGCTCCAGCGCCCTCTTCTGGCTTCCGTAGGCACTGCATACACATGCTGCATACACATACACTCAGACACAGGCATAAAACAAAATAGATACATACTTTAAGAAGAATCTGTACTGAGTTGGGCTTAAAGCCAGATTGTTTCCTATCAGAAATTACAAATAGGAGAAGGAGCTGACTTTTTCCCCTCTCAACCTACATCTACATCTCAAGTGTAGTATTGTCAGTGCAACTTTAAATGGGCCTCTAGCTCCCAGGAACTTACAGGGATCTGATTTCTCCACATCCTCTCATTAAAGACACTTAAACTGAATCATAAGAGGAAGAGGAAGTGGTGTTTCTCTGAAACATTTTCCTCCTTCACAGTGTGTGAACTTTTGCTTTCACACATAGCCCACACAGTGAGCTACGTAAAGAGAAATTCCAGCAGCCTCCAGATATGATTACCCCTTCGTTGTCAAGCCATCTTTGGCTTAGTTGCCTCTTTGACTGGACTTGGCAGCTCCAGTCTGCTCTGCCAAGGACAATGACTGACTGTGAGTTCATGTACATCCACTCGCTGGCTGAGGACTATCTTCAGTATGTCCTGAAGGTACCTACTTTTGAATCTGCTCCAAGCAAAACATCCAGGGTGCTACAAAGAGTTGCTTCCTCAGTTCAAAAAGAAGTCGAAAAGAATCTGAAACTATACTTGGATGATTTTGATGTGAGATCCATCGACACTGCCAGAACAATATTCAATCAAGTGATGGAAAAAGAATTTGAAGATGGCATCATTAACTGGGGGAGGATTGTGACTGTATTTGCCTTTGGGGGTGTTCTCCTCAAAAAACTTGCACAAGAGCAGATTGGCTTGGATGTGGGTGCTTACAAGCAAGTTTCCAATTTTGTGGCTGAATTCATAATGAATAACACAGCAGAGTGGATACGTCAGAATGGAGGCTGGGTATGTGTGATGGCATTCCTTTTACATTTATCATAATCCTTACTAATGAAAAAACTAACTAAAAGATTTCAGTCTGTTTGTATATCTTATTTTGGATGCTTTAATTAAAAGTAAGCCAAGCAGAAATCTCCTGGGTCATTTCCAGTGGACCCTACAACTTTTTAGTTGGTAAACATTTGGGTCTCCAGCTTTTATTCTTGCTTCGTGGACTACAGTCGTGAGGTTTGGGGCTGAGAGCAGCAGCTTTTGACTGCATCTTCAGAATCGGCAGGCAAGAATCTGCCTTTTGCTAGGATTCTCATGACAATGGAGAATTAGTACAGAAAGAGCTGGTATTAGATCTTGTCATTTGTACTTGGCTGTGTTGTAGTCAGCTGCACAGTTTGGTATACTGATTATTTACTCATTGACTTTTCCCATTTTGCAATATACAAATTATGGACTATTACAGTTTTATGCTAAAAATAAGGTACTGCCTCACTGGAAGGAACCCTTTTTTAAAGCATATAAAAATTTGCTTTTTTTTTTGTCTAACAGTATCTCAAAAAGCCAGGACTGTATGGAGAGTTTTTGGAGATCACTTTATCAAGAAGCCTTTGCCAGCTAGATTTAGATGCTCCACTTTGTGTCCCCAAACACTTAATACTAAGTTGAAAAACATTTCTATCCCCATGTAGTCTCTCTCCCATCCCCAGCTTTTATTTCTCTCAAGCAATGTCCACTGTTATTATTGTATATACAAAGCATGTTTATTGAATAAACCCAAAGAAAGTACTTGTAGCACCACCACCTGCATTTAGAGAAGAGACCTCACCATGTTGCCCAGGCTGGCCTCCAATTCCCAGAGTATAGTCATTCCACCACCTGGGACTCACTGGGACTCACCACCTGTCTACTCATCTGGGATTCTGCATGGACACCATCACGCTTAGCTAGCAGGACTCCCCCCAGTCCCCACCAGATCTCTGTTACCAGGGACCAAACCTAGAGTCTAACACAACTGAGCACATGTTTTATTACTGCACTGTACCCTTAGCCTCAAGGTAGTCTTTCTGAAAAATATTTTACAAATTAGTATCTGGGCTAGACATGGCAGTGTACATCTGTCATCACAGAACTCAGGAACAAAAGACAAGGGGACCAAAAGCTCAGGGTCATCTTTGACTACATAGTAAGCCAGTAGAAGGCCAGATCTGGTCATATGAAGGCCTGCTTAATCTCCCCATCCCAAATAGTACATGAACTTATTCTGTAACTACTTTTTTTTTCAACCCAGGGTACTTAAAATATCATTTTAAAAGAATACTGTAGGGACTCGGGAAGTAGATCGATTGTGGAATTCCTGTGTTCCATGAATAAGGCTCCTAATTCAATCCCTAGCACCATAAGTAGATAAAAATTAATATGTTCTGCTGAATATACATGCTGTCAAAGAGCTGGTCTCTTCTGGCCAATGTATTTGGGTTATTTCCAGAAATGTTTCTTTGAATATACCGGTATGTATCTTCTCCTGTGTGCAGGTGTTTTCTAGGATGGATATTTGGTCATAGAGTTATTCACTCATGGTGTGTATCCATTTTGAAATTACTAGATTTTTCTGCCCCATAGTGGTTCTATCAAATTATAATCCTGTCAACAGCATGTGAGAATACCCAATGTTTCCTGGGTACAAGGAGGTCCTAGTAATCTATTACAATTTCTCTACTTCGTTACACTAAATGCACACACTTTAGTTATCTTATATTAAATAATTTTGCCCTTGGTTATTAGTACAGTTAACGTTTTCTTCATGCTGAGCTCAAGTTCAAGTTCATTGACTAATTCTTACTAAAAGAATTGCCTGCTTATTCTTTTGCCCAGTTTTCAATTGTTTTATATACAAATGAATTCTTTGAACAACCTGAATGTGAATTATTTTTCTATGTGGCAGATTTCTTTTAGTATGTTGATTATCCTCTAAGACTGTATATGTCTTCAATAATCACATGTGTTTAAAAAATTTATGCAATTGACTTTATTGAACACAGACATTGTTCCATTTCTATTTTTTTCAAAGTCTGCTTGCTCAGTGCTATGTCTTACTATAAAGCAGTCCTCATTTTCAATTGCTTCAACTATCTGTAACTTGGCTTGATTTAGG